GCAACGATGGCAGTTTGCCAGGACTAGTCCATCTATTTTTTGAAAAGAGGAGGGGGGAGACGAAATTTGTTTTTATGTATGCTGTCTGAAAGGCACTGTAAGCGTGAACAATCAATCAAGAACTGAAATGATTTATCAAATCTTTCCAATGATTGCTAAGATAGAATCCATCTTCTCGGTTGAAATTGTCTCTGTGTTTGTATATGTGGATAGCCTCATGAACGAATCTCTCATGGAAGCCAGATGGCTTACAAAGAACCTCCGTCTTGGAAAAGTCAATGGCATGTGAGCCTACTGAATTAGAACAATGATCTGCTACGGCCGAGGTGTTGGTCCTACCGTGTTTAAGGTCTGCTTTATGTTCACGAATGCGGTCCGAGATATGGCGTTTGGTTTCTCCAATGTAACTACTACCACAGAGGCAACTTAGTTTGTAGACACCAGGGTATTGTATGTCCGGAATCACATCTTTTACAGACGGAACCAGATCACGGATTTTATGTAATGTGTTGAAACGGACCTGGATCTTGTGTTTATTCAAGATTTTGGAGATCTTTTTTGTGATCCCAGCAATGTAGGGTAAAGTGATGGTTTTGAAAGGCTCCTCAAGAGGGTTCTTCTTCATGGTTTGAGTGATAGCTTTGCGGATTGTATAGTCGGAGTAACCATTAGCCCTAAGAGCTTGGTGTACGTGCTTGAGTTCACTGCTTATGTGTTCCTGGTCGGATATGCATTGGGCTCTATGATACAGAGTCTTGATGAGAGAATTCTTCTGTGATGGATGGTGGTGGGAATCCGGTTTCAGATAAGCATCCGTATGGGTAGCTTTCCTGTAGACAGAGTGGCTCATTGAACCATCAGGTCTCTTTTTAATTAGGACATCCAAAAAAGGTATCATGCCATCTATTTCGACTTCCATGGTAAATCTGATGGCTGGGTGTATGGAATTGATGGCAAGATACCTTTTTTGGATGTCCTAATTAAAAAGAGACCTGATGGTTCAATGAGCCACTCTGTCTACAGGAAAGCTACCCATACGGATGCTTATCTGAAACCGGATTCCCACCACCATCCATCACAGAAGAATTCTCTCATCAAGACTCTGTATCATAGAGCCCAATGCATATCCGACCAGGAACACATAAGCAGTGAACTCAAGCACGTACACCAAGCTCTTAGGGCTAATGGTTACTCCGACTATACAATCCGCAAAGCTATCACTCAAACCATGAAGAAGAACCCTCTTGAGGAGCCTTTCAAAACCATCACTTTACCCTACATTGCTGGGATCACAAAAAAGATCTCCAAAATCTTGAATAAACACAAGATCCAGGTCCGTTTCAACACATTACATAAAATCCGTGATCTGGTTCCGTCTGTAAAAGATGTGATTCCGGACATACAATACCCTGGTGTCTACAAACTAAGTTGCCTCTGTGGTAGTAGTTACATTGGAGAAACCAAACGCCATATCTCGGACCGCATTCGTGAACATAAAGCAGACCTTAAACACGGTAGGACCAACACCTCGGCCGTAGCAGATCATTGTTCTAATTCAGTAGGCTCACATGCCATTGACTTTTCCAAGACGGAGGTTCTTTGTAAGCCATCTGGCTTCCATGAGAGATTCGTTCATGAGGCTATCCACATATACAAACACAGAGACAATTTCAACCGAGAAGATGGATTCTATCTTAGCAATCATTGGAAAGATTTGATAAATCATTTCAGTTCTTGATTGATTGTTCACGCTTACAGTGCCTTTCAGACAGCATACATAAAAACAAATTTCGTCTCCCCCCTCCTCTTTTCAAAAAATAGATGGACTAGTCCTGGCAAACTGCCATCGTTGCGCGTGACGCAAACGTTATTTTTATATATATAAATAAATATGCCGTTTTCAAAATAAATTTATGCAAACCGACACACCTGATGATGACCGTTTGAGTTATGGTCGAAACGTCGTGAGAATTTTTTTATTGTTTTATATATATTTTGTTATTTTGTTGTTTCTCTTCAACGTGACTTTACCGAAAAAACTAAGAATATGAATTACTGCAGTCACGAAAGCTTTAAATCAAAATTTAAGGGGAAAGCTGTTTTTAAATAGGAGAAATCTGGCTTTCCAAATCCATCAAAGTCCCGACTTATACCTACACTTCTTAGCCCTCTTCACCCAACACAGGCTGGTCTTACCCCTAAAAGTTTGATAAAAATGGAATTTCACAACATTCATAATCATTATCATCCGTGATCAATCCGCTGCCGGATGAAGGCCTCTCCAAGCCGATACCATAGCTTGCAATCCTGCGATGTAATAACATAGCCCAACTCTTGCGAGAGCACGTGCTGGGGTGGACTTCCTCCGAATACGTATTAAAACAATTAACGTCAGACGATAAACGTCGGTAAGTAATGCATGAATAGAACTGTCGAGAGCATCGGTGGTGCAGCAGTCCGCGCACTGCTTCATGAACTCGGTGTCCTAGATTTGATTCCGAACCACGGCCAAGACCAGTGGAGGAGTGGCATCTGAACCGTTCTTGAGCCCCTTCTTTTACCAACCGGCACTCGTCAGTATGGTGAAGCATCGTCAAACAAAACACTTAAGACCAGGTCTCACGAGAGGGGGGGGGGTACAATTGTACCAGTGCCCCAATCTCAAGCCCGCCCCCCCCCATAAAATAACGAGAATTACTATTTAATTTCCATGATCGTTTAGTGAGTAAATATCCAAGCGATTCCAATGATAAATACTTTACCTATAAGGTACATAGTAATGCAATTTTGTGGTCAATATCTCAGCTACCTATTTCATTTTTATATTTTAAAAAAAATCCGTATACTCTCTATCCAAAATACAAATTTGCAGAAGTGTGCACTTAGTAAATAATATGACAATGGCTACCATATGGGCCAAGGCAAAGTTGCTTCCTTTGACAACAACGATAGGGGCATGGGAAGGGGCGGACACGGTGCCCCCAGCCAATATTATATATTGGGGCACCCCAATCATAATGGGGGAAATTACGATTTGATTGAGTAATTGAATCGCCATACGCCAAATTCGCGATGCATGGATAGACCCGGGGGGGGGGAGGGGGGGGAAGGGCGGGTGAAATCATTCCATGCAAAGGAAACACATTCCATTGTCACGTATCCAACAGTCGCGAGTGTGTGGATGCGCCACGTGGCGCTGCACCATCCACAACGGTCGTGATGGGAGCTAATCCGACGATTTCGCGGAACGTGTTGGAATATCTTGACCTAAAGCTTTCGTGACTGCGGGAATTCATATTCTTTGGGTCTTTCGGTAAAGTCACGTAGATAGGTTCAAAGAAAATAACAAAAAACCCACGACGTTTCGATCGCAACGCAAGCGGTCGTCATCAGGAAAAGGTGACGACGACCGCTTGTGTTGCGATCGAAACGTCGTGGTTTTTTTAGTTTAGTTATTTTCTTTGCACCTATCTACGTGACTTTACTGAAAGACCCAAAGACTATGTTGGAATATGTTAAAGCACAGAACATCACGTTTGCACTGGTTGTTTGAATTGCTTGAGACAGACTTAAAGTGATGATCGTGATGCTTTGAATGCCTTCATCAAAGGACACCACGCATATATGCTTTCACGTTCTATTATAAGTTTCATATTGTCAGTAGTCTGGCTCAGGATCAATAATGTAGGAGCAAAACTAAGTTTCTGTACAACAAGTTCACTAAACAATCAGAGGTTACTTTCAAAGAGACATAAGTGGAAAATACATCAGTATACTTATCCCTAGCATGGCTATTTCAAGCAGACCGGGTCAAAACGATGTTAACTACCTCGCCTGGCATACAGGAGGTTTGATCCCGACCCTGACGCCTGTATATTTGGAGTTTGCATGTTTTTCCTGTGGTCGCGTGGATTTTTATACAGGTCCTCCGATTTTCCACTCCACATTTTAAAATAAACATTCGTTTAGAGTATTTGGTTGCTATACATTTTCACATGATAAGCCACTTCGTTGAGCTGACATTTGTGGCCAGTTAGCTTCTGAAAAAACATCCAAATAGCTCAGTGGGCATTACCTGGTAAAATAAAAACTAGTTTAGTACTTTTGGACAGTTGAACTCGATCATGAAAGCGGCGTACTCTTGTCTAAATAAGAACGTCCTTAATCGGTGCTCTTATTAAACGCACATGACGCGTGGATCAGAAATGTGGAAATTAACAAAAGAAATGCAACGCAAGGTGAAAAGTGCAAAAATAAACGTCGAGAGATGTTTGCTTGGACTTACACTGATTGAGAGAGAGAATGAGGAACGATTTTAGAACGTACACAGCTTGAAGATATTACGTTGCCTGTTAAGGGTTAGTGGGGCTTGGCGGGGCGCGTCACCACAAGAGGATGGAGTCGAGACTAATGAAGGAGAGGACGCGCCCGAAAAGGACGTCCACCGTGGAGGTGGAAGCAAAGACATCAGTTTGTGCGCAGGTGCAAGGTGGATTATTTACATCACAGGACATCGAGAGATGAGCGACAGGGCTTGGAAAGGCTTTAATCCAGCAGTGGATTGACTGTGACGATGATTCTCGGCATAGTTATACTGAGTAAACGTTAATTGCCCATTGACGAGTGTGGGTGTTATCCACAGCCATCACCTGGGCAGAACCGATCTATTCATTTCCTCTTGGGAATCCAAAGAAAAAAAGACAAGGCCCCTTGTGTAGGATTAATTTGCTGCTGAACCCAACAGGTGATCTCGGTTCATTACCTTGTGCCACCACCATCAGCACAATCATTTCCACGTTCGCAAGACGTACATTCATTCCAATTTTAGGCGTATTATCCCCACAAGCTCCAGCTCCAAACGGTCCACGGGGAATGATAAAACCCATATATAGGCGATAGAATTCGGAGGGCATGCGCCACGCCAATGTGCAGCGATAATCTGCGTGCGGGGATGTGAACGACCTTCTTTGTCGTCATTTAATCTCCAACACTGACAGACCATGTCTGTGGCACTCGTTAATCTGGAGGCAACACCGGGCAACATCGCGCTGATCGTATTTCACATGTGTCTGGCAACGTGCTGCACTCTGAGCAACTTGTTGCTCTTGATGGCGCTCCTTGGCTCAGCGGCCCTTCTCAGGAGGAACAACCACCTCTACACGTTGAGCATCACCGTCAGTGAACTGATGGTGGGCGCGGGCTGGTTCTACATCGCTCTCTACGACGAGAATGACACTTTTGGACCTCTTTACAGTCCGAGAAACGTGCACACAACGGTTCACGGCATTTCGCTGATCACCGTGTTGGCTTCCATGATCGACAGGTACCTGTGCGTGAAGTATCCGTTCAAGTACTCGCAAAAGATGACCAGGATTAAGGCCGTGGCAATCATTGCGATCACCTGGCTTGGGCCCATTGCAACCGTGGTCTTGAAAATTATATTCCCCAACAAGAAAGAAAAAACGTTTCAAGGCTACATCACGATATTGTTTTCAGTCATAATGCTCGGGGTGATGGTGATTTTAAACGTGAGGCTTTACTTAATCTGCCGAATGCAACAAAACAGACAACATCAGGACAGCAGCACACCCCAAAAGCAGTCGGCTCAGCTCATTGTGTTGGCGTCCATGATATTCATCACCCTCTGGACTCCCGGCATCGTCTACGTGTGCATATGCTACGGCTTTGAGATATGCTCGTCTTTTTTAGAGGGATCTACGAACGCGGTCGTCGTGATTCGAATGTTCAACGCCATCACCACACCGCTCATTTTCCTGTTCGGAAGCCCAATGACCAGGGCCTCCCTTATGAATGTGTTCACGTTTTTGAAGATAAGAAGGTAATGCAATCATTGATGTTGGCTTATTCGTTAAATGTATTGTTTGGTCATATCAATTATTTTTACATTTTAAGAAGTAAATCGTTCAAGAATGATGTATAAGTATAATACCCGAAACTCATTTTCAATGTCTGTTTAATAGTTTGGTGATCCTAGCCAGAGGGCTTTGCAGTGGCTTCAAGTTCACATTTTCAGGGAAGGCTTTAATCAGTCTGATATTAATGTTACATTTATAAACTATAGCTAAACAGATAACATTGTAACATGCTAATGATGCTCCTACTGCAAAACATAGTGTAATTATAACAACTCGCTAATTTTCTTATGTTCCTACTATAATAAGAGTTCTAATTATGCTCATCAAATAATACTCCTATAGCACAAGGTATAATTATGTTATACTGGTGTTAACATGGTTCTTTGTTCTACAAGTTCATGATTTTTACATGAATGGTACACCAGTGATCATGAAGAGGAAAAAAGTGTAGAAATATTACGTGTTAATACGTACATACATTTACTCTAAGAATAAACGTATATATTAAAATATATATACCTTCTATAAACCTTTCTGATAGGTCCCGACATGAAAGAGGACTGAACAATTTCCTTTAGAAATGTTCATCAGTTATTGCAAGCGAATCGGACTGCAACATGAGGCAATGGCTTCTTGAACTTATTTATATTTGTGAATAGAATATATTTGAGATGACGTTTTGTAATCGTCACGACATCATATTTTTTTTCACGATGCAGTATATGCAGTATGCGGACGCAGAGCACAGAACGACCTTCTGTCTGTATTTACTTTTAACCCATAAGTCTACGCAATAATGCACAATGAGTACAACTGTGTTTATACACACATATGTGTACGTTACTTGGCGACACTGTTAAAAGTTAACAAAACACGAATGCCTTGCTGACTACGACACTGCTGTTGTTTTTCTTCAGATCGCAGGTTCAGCCCACGAGCCTCGACCAGACTTAAGTGGATTTCTTTCTCGCTTCCAGCAAATCGCGTTTGCGTTGCTTTCAGCAAGTAAACGCGTGCCAGCGATAATCTTCAGAAAACGCTTCAAATGAAGAACAGCGACCACGGTTCGCAGTCATTGTCACTACGATATATAATATCAATAAACGTGGAGACCGGCTTCTTCTGTACTTCATGTATTTTTTTGTTTGTTACGAATCTCGTTGAACGTGTTCGATTTGAAACTGATAAGGAAGGCAGAACTGATAGAAAACATCATGGGTGCCGTATGCTCCACAATACAGGATTAACTTATCTATTTTAAAGCATCTGATTAAATCGGTGTGTGTGTGTGTGTTACGTGTGGATCAGGTCTGTATAATTGTCTTCGCAACGGGCAATGTAATGTTGCTCTTGTTGTGCGCGTCTTAATTTCCCGAGCGTTTTTATAATAAAATCCGGAGAATACAATATCTATAAAGACAAGGTCGCGTTTGTTTATCAGCCCTGTATTTCATAACCCTAATCAGTGCCGGATTAAGATAGTGCGGGACCTGTAAAATATGTTATAAAGGGGCCATAAAAAAACGTGAATATTAAAACACAAATTTTAACTTGCATAGTAAAGTAATTGGATTTTTGATTTGCAATACAGCCAGATAATACGACAAATCGCTAACCTCCTTAAACACCCAGTCGTTCATAAACGTTGAAGGCAGTATAGTACTATAGTAATAGAGCAAGTGCAGAATCACTGAACCGGGATTGATAGCTTGAAAGCGTTTAGAGCGGGGGCCCTTGAAAGTGCGGGGCCCGTAGCTACTACATATGGAGTAGCTACTACACGTAGCAAAAGTAGCTACTGCATATATAGTAGCTACTACATATGTAGTAGATACTTTGCAACGAGGATAATCCGGCACTGACCCTCATCAGTGAACACACCACCACACTGCCGGCTTCCTCTACACACAGCTCATCAGCGACCCCACCACCACACTGCGGCTTCCTCTACACAGCTCATCAGCGACCCCACCACCACACTGCCGGCTTCCTCTACACACAGCTCATCAGCGACTCCACCACCACACTGCCGGCTTCCTCTACACACAGCTCATCAGCGAATCCACCACCACACTGCCGGCTTCCTCTACACACAGCTCATCAGCGAATCCACCACCACACTGCCGGCTTCTTCTACACACAGCTCATCAGCGACTCCACCACCACACTGCCCGGCTTCCTCTACACACAAATCATCAGCGACCCCACCACCACACTGCCCGGCTTCCTCTACACACAGCTCATCAGCGACTCCACCACCACACTGCCGGCTTCCTCTACACACAGCTCATCAGCGAATCCACCACCACACTGCCGGCTTCCTCTACACACAGCTCATCAGCGAATCCACCACCACAATACCGGCTTCTTCTACACACAGCTCATCAGCGACTCCACCACCACACTGCCCGGCTTCCTCTACACACAACTCATCAGCGACCCCACCACCACACTGCCGGCTTCCTCTACACACAGCTCATCAGTGACCCCACCACCACACTGCCCGGCTTCCTCTACACACAACTCATCAGTGACCCCACCACCACACTGCCCGGCTTCCTCTACACACAACTCATCAGCGACCCCACCACCACACTGCCCGGCTTCCTCTACACACAGCCCATCAGCGACCCCACCACCACACTGCCCGGCTTCCTCTACACACAACTCATCAGCGACCCCACAACCACACTGCCCGGCTTCCATCTTCCACGGAAACATTTGGCAGCGCTAAACCGGATCCACACAAATCACAGAGGATGCGGCGGACAGCTGACGCCTGGTGCACGAGTGGAGAATCTAAGACGTGGTGCGCGACAGCGGCTCCGAACAACCAAACCACGAGGCATAGAAACTTGGCATTGCCCCAAATATTCACTTGAAGGTGGTCTGTAATCCACCAACTCTCATACAAGTTCGAGACAAAGCAATTTAACGGCCGAATTACAGAACTGAATCTATAAGTTGCCATATGAAGTCACCATCGTCATCAGAGTGTATGAGATCTTGTGCGGGACAATGCACTGCCAAGAGAGCTGCAAGTCCGTCTACGACTTGTATTTTGCAACAAGGCTGATCTGCATGAACTTAAGACGCTTCATTGTGCTTCCAAGTTCACGTGTGCTGCTGCTGCTGCTACCCATGTGTAGAGCTGTGTTCAATTGTGATTCGTCATTGCATTGGTGCATCGGGCCTTATTTTACGCTTGTGTGAGGTGCAACTTCAAGCAATACGTGAATGTAATATACAGACAGCAACAAAAAATGAGGCTATTAAGAAGCACAGTGATACAAACTGGAATAGTACTGAGTGAAAAGTGTGGAAGAGAATGGGGGAATTCGAGGAGAGGAAGAGCGACACTGAAAGCGGTGAAGGCCTCATGGAAACAGTCTTAGTGTAATCCTTAAAAAGGTTTATCAAGTGTGCATACAGGGGGGAAAGACCCGAGGGGCCGTCCAGGAAAGAGATTTACGTTAAATGTTACGGAAGAGCGTGGAAGAAAGAGTCGAGGAATGGAGGGGGGGTCAGAGAACGTGGAGAAACCCGGTACATCAACCGACCTGGCAACACGCTGGAGTGATGATGGTGATGATGATGATTGTCGTACGGAGGAATAGCAACTGGACGCTGAGTTTTGATATCCGGTCGAGATCTTTTGGATGTGCAGAGTAAATTCAGAGATGTTTCTAGGGAATGAGTAGATGTCCCATTGTTTTCTGAGTCGTTTGAGGTTGTTGGCTACGTTAACTGTTGACTGGCAAGCCTATTTAAACAAACTCTTTGGTTATTTCGGTAAAGTCACGTAGGTGAAAAAATAAAATAAAATTCTTGCTGTGGTTGTCACACCTGATGATGATTGCTTGTGTTGCAATCGAAACGTCGTAATTTGTTTTCACCTACGTGACTTTACCGAAAGAACCAAAGAGTATGGATCCTTGCAGTCACGAAAGCTTTAAATCGCTATTTAACCCAGTTAAACATTCGTGCGACGAATCTCACTCAAAGAACCTCACTCACATATGCAGAGCGAGTGGGAAGTGTTGTTGTGTGTAGACCACAGGTCACGTGAAGGGATCTCAGAGGTGGCTCCGTCGGCCTTTCTCCAACACGAAAGGGTTGCACTTCTCTACGAGAGACATCCCGAAAGGGAGACTTGGTCTCGGAAGGTGATTCTGATTTTGCACGAAAGGGATGAAATTAGGGGAAAATTGAAAATAAAACAAATTAGAATCTTTATTTATCCTGGAGAAATCCGACGAACTACGAAAGCTCTGTTTTTACAGATGTCCAGTAGGAGCGGGTAAGAAAGTTACAACAACAAACAATATACAAGCACGAAAGGAGTGAAAAGTATTGGAAAGCTAAGCAAATCACGAGAAATAAATCCGTAAAATACATAAAGTACATAGTTCAAATTTCATAAGTAATGTAAAAGCGCTGCATGAGACACAGCACGTAACAGATCCCCATGATGCTATTGCACAGCTGTTGTAGGCTCTATGGATGATAGGAAAATTCCTCTTTGTCTCAATGTAAAAATTATGTACCTATTGACGTGTGGCTATTATGTTTCCCCAGACTGGAGCCTGTAAATAAAGTTGCAAGAATTGAAAACTAAAAATCTGTAGCATTAATTCGCATTTGGAATTCTTATGAGTTCATATAAATTTATATTGTACAGAAGTAAACAACATAGTTTTTTCGGAAAATTATCATATGCATACCACTGTTAATGTGACATGCTAGCAGGACAGGTTAGAGATTGCAATACTGAGTCTTGGCAGCAGATGGCATTAGTTCACTTCAATTCGCTAATAAAGCGCAAATCACAGATGAATTAATGGAGGTGCAGTATACCATATAATAAAGAATTGTAGCATAGCACAATTGGATGCCTACTATCATGAAAAAAAAAAATAAGCATGCATATTGGTTTGAATGATAACAGTATACAAGCCTACATTTGAAATAATCCACTAAACATATGTAAAAGGACTTAAAAACTTTCGTGACTGCAGGAATTCATATTCTTGGTTCTTTCGGGGAAGTCACGTAGATAGAAAATAAAAATAACACAACATTTTAATAAAAATTACAAATAAAAGCAAAAAAAAACCACGAAGTTTCGATCGCAACACAAGCGGTGTTTAAATTGTATTCGTATTTTCTATCTACGTGACTTTACCGAAAGAATCAAGAATATATATGTAAAAGGACTAATGTTAGCTCTATACTCGCAGTTTAGACATACATTCAAAGTAACTATTCCATCAAACGAGCAATAAGGAGGCGCTTACATTGGAGACTGAGCCAAGGACTGGTGTAAATTCCACATTTCTATAGTGGGGACAAACTATCTAAAATATTACCACTTTGCACACAAAGTGCTACTAATTTTATTGACCTCACCTCTCAATGAGTCAAGCACTCTTAATAGAGTACTCTAAAGAGAGTGCTTTGTAGCTGTTAATGCATACATGCAGACCTTCACGACTATTATTATGATTATTATTTTGTCTATATATTTGAAAAAAAAAACATGCTTGCTTTGTAACAATTCCATCGGTTTACTGAAAAACCGAAATCAATTGGCATATTTGTCCACGTGACAACTTTATTTCATTGGCTGTGTCAGGTGGCAGAAGGCGCAGATGAAAATTACGGTCGAACCCAAAACAAACGAATTTTGAAGCATCTTAAACACTGCATATTAAACATGTGATGTTTATATTAGTGCTCACGAACAGCCACTTTTAAGATTGTTTTTGTTGATGATGAACATTTACCAAATGTGTACATTCTATGTGGAAATTATGTATCATCCGAAAATAAAAATGTGCATCACGGGGTACTTTTAATCATCAATAACTGCTAATTTAATACTGCTAAGCAGGAGTTAGATCACTGCACTATGGACCCAGAACATGAGTTCCATTCCTGGCGGTACTATATTACAGTTTTCTATATTTATAAATGTAGGTGCCATGTACCTGTTTTGTTTACTTCGGCTTATGCGCATTGGACTGTATTCATTTGTTAAACGTGGTCTATATTTGTACACTTGAATTGGTCGTGATTTAACCCGTGGTAAAATAAAGAATACAACATCACTACTGATATGTTCATGGGTCTCCCTGTTCACCGACCCCCCACCCCCCACTAACCTGCGTGATGAAGTATCCAGTAATGGTCTCGCAAAAGGGGGTTTTCACGACACATTAATTAATTACGATTTATGATGGCGACACCATTGAATGATAGACAGTACTTAAACGTCTTTAGACCCGTTGACAATGGGCACTTTAGACTGGCTGGACTTGATTTTTGTTATTGAGGTGTTGTGTTATCTACTTTGTGAAGATGTCACCTGCGTTATTGTACTGCGAATAAATTGTGGGATTCATGCTCAAACAGCGGGAGTCGTGACAATGGAACTTTCGATAACACTCTGTTGCACGTGTGGTGTTTATTGTGTGTACAGCCGAGCGTGGCACGGCCGCCGTGGTGACGTCACCGCCACGAAGTGGCGAATGGCGGCTGTTGTTGTTGTATACAGCCGGTTGTCAATCCACTGCTAGATGAAGACCTTCCAGTCCAGCAAGGCTGGCTTGGGTCGTGGGTGGGTTACTTGGTCACACTTCATCACGCTGGTCACACTGTGCAGACTGGTGAAGGGAGACCGCATATATGTAGGGAGCATAGAAGTACCGTATAGTTGAGTAAAACAATACACTGTGTTGAACTGCCCTCTGCTCCCCGCCAGCTAAACCCGCAGAACACAACAACTATATAACACAACTCTCTGTGCGTGGTGGCCGCCCATCCAATTCACTGCGCAGGATCAACTTCGCTTGGCTTCCGATAACTGACCAGATGGGGGAATCATTCTGGGTGCTTTTTACTCAGAGGCATCATGAATTCATGGTTATCACGTGGCATGAGCGGTAACATTTTGGCACATGAAATAATTGCACTTAATATGGTACAGTACCTGTGACAGGATTTTAAATATCTCACAAAGTGATTTTAGAAGTCTAAAGTTGAACGTTTTGACATGAACACTCACACACGTAAAAAATAATACTACCAATTTACTAACCTAAACTAAGCTTTTTTATTTTACCAGGTAAGGCCCACCGAGCTATATAGCTCTTTTTCAGAAGCGACCTGGCCACAAATTATAGCTCAACGAAGTGGCTTGTGATGTGGAAATCTATAGCAGCCAAATACTCTAAACGCGTGTTTCTCAATGTGGAAGGAAAAACCAGATCACCCGGGAAAAAAATCCACGCGATTGAAACAATGCTTCCATTCAACATATCTGTCGGTTCACATAAAACAGTTGCAACAAACAGACCCTCTTAAATTCACTGCCATAGCAAGTCAGCCTTGAACAATCAACAGCGGGATTGAAGTGCTTTACCAAGGCGTCGCCATCTCATCGTGATCTCATGACGTCACAATCCACAAAGCACACTCCACGCGAGCTGATTAATCGCCTCATCTCCTCGAAGGACGTCCGATCAGATGGGTTCATGTCCATAATTTCAAGAACAAAATTAAAACAAACAAAACACAGTTGTTGCATGCAATAATTGCTTGTGGACAATTGTCCCGGTAGGTGATTATCGTGTGATTAAGTATCGCCCACAATACCAAAGAAATATTAAGGGCCATGAACATGGACAAACTTTTGACATATGATCTGCTGGGTATGTAAGAAATAATCATGAAAGCAATAATGTACAGGCCTTTGTCAATCCACTGCTGGATGAAGGCATTCTCAGACCATGTCGGTCATGGGGGTTGTTTGACCATACTTCACCACACTGGTCCTTGCGGGCTGGTGAACGGAGGCCTATGACCGGTCAATAAATCCCTCTCCACTGATGTTTGCCATGGTTGGGAACCGAACTGAGGTTGCTGGGTTATTGGTGGAGTGTTGTTTACAACTGCGCCACTGTTACCCCACCACAAAGACTGCACCTGGAGCTTTTAATTTCACCGCTGTGAATCACGGGTACCTTACACAACTGTTAGCGAGCACCTATGATAGCCGGCACGACACATGAGGCCGTGAGTGGCCGCCTTTGTCTTCCTTGTGGTGATATCTGCACACCACACCGGGATACTGATTTGAGGCTGAGTCGAGCACGGGGAGGCCCAGGACCGGTTCAGATAATCCTCACTGGTGCTGTCCGTGAGCAGGAATCGAATTCGGATCGCCGGGTTCATAGCGCAGCACACTAACCATTGTGGCACTGCTCACCACAATATATATACACACACACACAAACCCATGTTTGTCTCAAATGCAATTCCCAAAAGGCAAGCCTCTGAAAGGCCTGCAGGGAATTTCGAAACCTATATATTCTAACTGTTCCTCTTGTGACGCGAGCAATCTACATACGTCGGGCTGGAAGCCTACAGCTCACTGAAGTCTCCCTGCCTCGTAAAAACACCGTCACGCACTCCTCACTCACTCACTCACTCGCACGACATGCCTTACACACTCGACAACGTGGCTCTCGTGACGCTCAACACTGTCTATGCAACGAGCATTGTCCTGACAAATCTGTTGCTTATTGTAGCGTTGCTGAATTCCAGCACGCTTCTGAGAAAAAATAACTACCTCTACACGTTGAGCATCTCGCTCAGCGATTTGCTTGTCGGCGCCGGCTGGTTCTACAACGGGCTGCACCGTGACGCAGACGATGGCACCATATCTTACAAAAGCCCCCAGTGGGTATTTTTGTCAATTCACGGCATTTCCATGATGACCTTTCTCGGCGCTGTGATTGACAGGTATTACGCAGTGCAGCACCCGTTTAAATACGTGCGGGTAATGACGAGGGCCAAAGTCGTGGTGATCATTGCCTTCATTTGGCTCATTCCCCTCGTGGTGCTCAGCCTGGAGTCGCAATCCCCGATATACTACAGCGTGACTTATCAAGGTTACTCCACCACAGCCTTTTCATTTTTGATGATTGGGTCAATTGTGACCTTAAATGTGAGGATTTACGGCATTGTTAAAAATCAGCAAGAAAGAGACGGGTACATTGCCAGGAGCTCCAAAAACAATTCCACTTTGCTTATTGTATTGGCCGCTGCTATCTTCATCATCCTTTGGGCACCTTCGATGATATATACAGCTATTTGCTCCACGGCTGACGTCTGCCAACGTTTCCCCAAAGAACACTTAATCATCTTGTCGAACATCAGAATGATGAACACACTTAGCACCCCGATCATCTTCTTGGCCGCAAGTCCTCTGACGAGAGCGTCTCTCAACGGCCTCGCAATTCGCCTACGTCTCAAAAGGTAAATGCGAGAGGTATTTTGTGTTGTTTAAACATGTCGCCACACTGTATCGTATCAATGTATAAAATTGTTTAAGTAATACGTCTCCAGTTCTGCAGTTTGTTTTGCTTATGATGATCATTAGGCATGTAACATTGCATCAATTCATCGATAACAATTCATTCTCACGGTACACAATGCACGCGTAAAATCATGCGTGTGAATCAATCATTTCTGATTCGTGCAAATGGTGACTAACGAAACAATGGAGAGACCTATGGAGCAAAAATGATCCAAAACGAACGTAGAACAAAGTAAAACAATAAAACAAAAAGATGGTGATAAGATCCCAAAAAAATGTCTCGTGTAGAATCGCGAAGCCAAATGGGAAACAATTCATCCAGACGGTGGGGTACAGCATTGCATGCTAAACGATCAATACAATAAACCTTTAAACTAACAACATGGAATGATTTCCAATAATATGAAAAACAACTCAACTCTCTTATCAACAACACTGCCTTCTCACCTGAAGACGGCCGCTTGTGTTGCGACCGAAAAGTCGTTTTTTATTATTTTTATTCTTCTATCTACGTGACTTTACCGAAAGAACCAGAGAGTATAGAAAGAAAAATATACGTATAAAATCAGCCATTAAGGGCCATTGCCCGAATCGTCGCCGATTATATATTTTATATTTTAAAGCCACATTGTTATGAACGAGTGTGTTGAGTGTTTTCGTTAATTGTCCATGTGCGCCGCGGCTAATGCAGCAGCAGCACCACCAAACAATTGGCATAAGCTGCAAACGTCATTTATTTTATCGGCTGTCGCTTTTAGTTGAAGACACCAGGAGACGCGTGAATGCGAGATGATACATCCAAATGGGGTTATTTTATGGTTCAATGGTTAAATATACAACAGTTTATATCTTGAGTGTAGTTCTAAATGAACATACAAATGCAAATGTTAACTCACACCTTTTGCCTGGGCTTGGAAAAAACAAGCAGATGTCCTTTGGCATCTTATTAAAAAAAAAAACACGCGTCGCACACCAACATGAAGACAACTTACAAAATCAAGGCCGACGTTTCAAAATAAGCTAAAGATAAACGTGGTAACATTGTGATTATTTTTCTTTAGATCCCAAGTCCAACCCGGTGATTGTCAAGTTGGAGCAGCCACTGCCCGCCAGATGAACTAATAAACATAACGGGGACGTGGATCTGCGATTGTGGTCCCGTGTTTCCGCACCACATGATGATGACATGATTTACGGAGCACGCATTTCTACATATTGCTTGATATTTGCACGTGACTCTTTTGCATAGCACGAAATAAAAAAAAAGTCGCTCATACGTATATACGTACAGACAAAGGGCGCATTATTATAACGCATAACTATTACGCTTCAGGCAATTCTCGTTATCAGCCACGGTCTAGTCACTGCTGGATGAAGGCCACCGCCTCACGCGCCCCGCGATGCGAGATTCCATCCATCCCCTGCACAGGAGCGGCGATTCATTGCTCCGTATCCACGGAGGGCGATCCTTCACGGGGGCGTCGTCTCTCCTTTGGCTGCCACTGTCATTTCGCCCCTACCGCTGGACATCATCCCATCTCACGACATTTCCTGCCCAACTCCATTGCACATTCCACTAAGTGGGAGTGTACCCTGAAGACTGGCAATTTGCAACTTGTGAATACAACACTGCTCTGTGCACCTCAAATAATTTGGCCGTTTAAATGAGCAATTATTTCCATTTCAAGTCTATGCATTTTTTTAAAATTGCTCTTTTATATATATATAAAAAAAAAACATGTAACGTCGTTCACACGGAAGGGATATGTTGCTGGCAAGTCCTCTGTTGCATACGAGCTCACGAGTTGCGTTGTGCAATCTGAAGAGTTCGTATTCGTTTAGAAATTCTAGGTCCAATCTATCGCGTTGGCTTTAGAACAAAGTTACCCACCACCCCCCCTCCCTCCCACGACTCTTGCTGTATTCATATAGGGTGCGGCTCTTTCATCTGACGGATATAACATTAACTGTGAACCTTATATGATCTTGTCTATTATTAAATACACACGAGTAACACTCATGAGTGTTGTTCTGCTTCACGGGAGCTGTTGTCATTAAAAGGTAATCACGCCGTCTTAGCAATGCGCACGCAACAACACTGGCGTCTTCATTGGCAACTCGCAAATGCTGCACCATCAAGCAAGCCCTTCCCTCCGGGCTACATTTAAATTACATTTAGAACAAGCCAATTTGATTGTTTCATCTTAACAATGTAAATTTTAAATGCTGAAAAGCGCAATTTAACGGGCAGCACTCACGGCACGCATGCATATAAGGCCACACCATCCATATTTGGCTCAATTCCCACAAGCATAACCTGTGTCGTTCATCTCGGGAATTAAAACAAAAAACAATCGATATATCCTAACAGTTTGTTCAATCTTGTGAGGGAAGCCATTCGGGGAACAGTGTGCCAGTTGCATGCGGTCTGTCGTTTTCACTTCCTTGCCGAGAAGAAGGAGGAGGAGGAGGAGAGACCAGACATGGCCCGGTCGATCGTAGCTCAGGTGGACACAATTGGCGAAGGGCACGCCGATGGCGTTTCACATTTCTCTACGCGACGAGCATCGTCTCGGCAAATTTGTTGCTCCTCATTGCGATCTGCAACTCGAAGTCCATTCTGAGGAGGAACAACTTCAGTTTACGCGTTAAGCATCGCAGGTCTGCGACCTGACTGCGGGCGCCGGTTGGTTCTACAACGGCCTTCACGATATCAACGACAGCACCGGGCTGTACTTCGGCGTGGCGAAGATCTTTCCCCACCATTCACGGCGTGTCTCTGATAACCCTCATGTGTGCGACTTTAGGCCGCTACTACGCCGTGCAATCTCCTTTCAAATACAAGCATTGCAACGACGAGGACAAAGGTTCTCTTAATGATATCGGCGTTATGTGGGCATTTCCGATAATAACGTTGGTTGTGCAAGGTGCACTGCCGGGCGAATCGGGTGATGCGTATCACGGTTTCTCGACTCTCATATTTTCGGCGTTCACGCTCGTCGTCATGATGCTTCTCAGTCTGAGGCTTTGCATGGTCACTAAAAGTGGCAACAGAGCAGATAAATCAATTCTGAGCACGCTTACAAAAACAGATCCGCCTGTCTCATTGTCATCACGTCAACATTCGTTCTCATTTTCTGGCCACCCTGCCTCTTTTATATCATCATTTGCTTCGCCGTCAGTGGCGTGTCTTCACGTTGAGAACTAAGCTACAGAAAAAAAATCCGCTTGTGTTTATCCGCATGTTAAACACGCTGAGCACGCCGATCATCTTCCTGCTGGGTAGCCCGCTGACCAGATCTTCTCTGAAGGACCTGGCGCAGCGTCTCCGTGGCAAAAGGGTAACCCGATTTTCTGTTGCTTGCGTACATTTTTTTGGTTAGTTTGTTTGTTACGTGCTACGATGAATATTGCTACATACCATGGCGGATACTTGAAAGTGCCGTTTAATATATTGCACCGCACTGCGTCTGATGCTACCTCGTTTTGTAACCTATTGTTATACCTGTGTATATATCGCACCTCCGATTGGCACGGTTGGCTACGTACAGTGCGAAAGAAGTTCAACATACGTATACGCACAATTTTAATTTATAAAGCGTCTGAATGGTGCTGCACCTATAAACGCTGCACAAAAAAGACACTAGCATCATGACATCGAGGGATTAAATGATTAAGTGAAGGGAGATGAAAGTTCTGGGTAGCAGGACTCCGCAACTGAAGAAGACAATTGGGACAGACGGATTAGTCATAGGCAGAGTAAACGGGGTAACGTCTCAAGCCTGGACGTGAAGAGGGAGATGTGTGGACATCCAGAGAGCTCCAGACATTGGGGACACCAGTGGAGAAGAAGCAATCTCCCATTGAGCATAGGTTGACTGGTGGCTTTAACAACAAAAAAATAACCCTGGGTTGCTGGAGTGTAGTTCCTGCGGCAGCCACTACAGCGAGATGATTTCTCGCCACGACTAACGTCCGTGGTGAGTGATATATCTGAACCGTTCCCGGCTGCTTCACCCTACCCTTCACCAACCCGCACTGACCAGCGTGGTGAAGTATGGTCAAATGACCGCACCAATTAATAATACGGCATTGGGAAGAAAATATCCAGCAGTGGATTGATCAATGCCTGTACAAAAACAAATGCGTTATTTTATGTATGATCAATCAGTCAGACAGCGCCGCTGTCTGACTGATTGGTTAGCCGAGATTGGATGTATGATTAGTGTGAAATACACAAGACAACTGGACGTCATTGATAAAGAACAATTTAAAATACTGTAGGACACACGGCAATGACCTTGGCAGTGTGAACATTTCTAACTTGTTGTTAATATACGTTGCAGTGCACTGCAAAGTTACGTCAATACGCATCTGTGTGCACACACTTTAAACATTCCACACCCCAAATCGATCGACAGCCTATAGTCAAAAATGTAATGTCCATTATAATAGTTTATCAACGTTGAAAATACGTTTTGAAAAAAAAAAAAACTACAGTGGTCCTGATAACATTTGTTTTGTTTTTCAGATCGCACGTGGAGCCCGTTAAAGATCAAAATTGAAGCTTCCTAACAATCATCTGTGGTGTAAATTAAGGTGTGATGCTAAAACAGTTGAAGGAGGCCGTTTCATTCGACACATACCAAGTAAACATGGAACGTTGGGCCAAAGGTTTGAACCACATAACAACGTTGGCCCAACATTGCACGTGTACTGGGTAAAATGCTTCTTATCAAACCATATTTTCACTGATGCTTGTTTTAATATACAGTAATGATGTATTAAAGGAGCGTTACTTTTAAAGAGTGTTTGAAGTATTCGCATATTGTAGATGTTCATTTTGAGTTACATTAAATTGTCATTCTCCTTTATGAACCATTGATATTGCCTAAAGCTATGGATTTCATTGTCCATTTAATTGAGATTCTAAAGTTCCATTTATTTCTGGAATAAAGAACAAAGTAAAAAAATATTTTGTACAATAGCTACGGATTTTGGAATTATCATTATGAGATGACTTTTAAAAATACAGTACGAAGAGCATGTAACCAATTATAATTAATCAAGACTAATCATCACGATGACGAAATAATATACTTTAACCTTTACAGCAATAATACAGGTGTTAAGATTTTCAAACACCAAATAGAAACATATTTTGCATATTATTTCCGGAAAGGGTAAAGCCTATTCTTTTTTAATCAATTTGATATTGGCAAAAAAGGTGTCCGACATATAAATATTATCATCATTAGTCATGACCAGGGGTTGGCAAAGCAAAATAACAAGAAGAGACATTTTTTGTCGAATTCAGTAAAAAAAAACCCTAAACATTTCAAGAAGCAGCGACGCACGTGAATACGAGACAGCGGTCTCCAATCAATAACGTCACGAAGCAGCCGTCCTTAAGGAGGCGTCTGCGGCTCCGGAAACGCAGGTTGCCGACCTCTGGCCACGACCAATTCACTGCTGCATGAAGGACTCCCAAGCCTTTGCCTCCCATCAGTTTGCAATGCAGGAATCCATAGAGGCTCCGGCACACGACCCGATCTCATCGCCCCATCTCCACGGTGGAAGCCTTCTCCGGTCCGTTCACGCTTTTGGCTGTCGCTCCGCCGTCAGTCTCGACTACCGGCCATCGTCCCTTCAAGCGATGAGCACTGCCCAAGCCCGCTTACTCTTCCTCACAGTCAACATGAACGACCCCAACTTGAATTTCGATTTAAAGCTTTCGTGACAGCAAGGATTCATCTTCTTTGGTTCTTTCGGTAAAGTCACGTAGAATGAGAATAAAATAATAAAAGAAAATAAGACAATAAAATTCTCACAAATAGCCTTCTTCAGTTCTGTTCTTTCACCTGAAGAAGGCTACTTGTGTTGTGGCCGAAACGTCGTGATAATTTTATTGTCTTATTCTGTTATTTTATTCTCATTCTACGTGACTTTACCGAAAGAATCAAAGAAGATGGACTCTAACTTGCATTAGTGCCTGGTGTGCGCGTTCCTCTTTCCGTCGCTCAGTGTAATTCCAAGCACGCACCTCTTCATGCTTCGTTGCGTACTTATCACGTTATGTTACATTTTGTTTGTTAGTCTGCACGCTTGCGATCCATGTCACAGCAAGAAACATATACCGATTAAAAACGGTATTCATTAGACGCATTGCCTGGTATATTGCTTTTCAATAGAAGGTTCAGTTTGCCAACTTAAGTCAAAATTGCTCTTGCCTGCCTATTTATGATCATTTTCATCCTAGTCCACCTTCAAAAATGTAATCAGCAAATCTGAGACGATTAATATTTTCTATCAGATGCTCATGCCTTTATTCTCCCAACATTCTTTGAACAGCATATGTAAATGTTACTGTGAATAACTCTAGCGAGAGCGTTCCTCCTCACATGACTCCCCTTCTGCTTTGCAATTTGTTACTTCATTCATGTGATCTCAGCGTAGCTGTTCCATTACTCTCATGCTTTCTTTTCTACATGTTTTTAATTTATCCAGGCTTTGGCTTGTTTGAAAAAGTGTGGCTATCCGTTTATAATGCGTCATATACATTTTTCATAGACTGCAAAGGCTAGGCATAATTGTGTTTAGCATCAATTAGCCTTTTCTAGAATCCGATAGTTTGTATGTGATCAATCGAGTGGTTGGTTAGACTGTTATCCTGTACCCAGTGATCTTTGTGAGAAATTTATAAAAATAGGTCTGTAATTTAAGTCAGCTTTTCTTAATAAAATTATTAACTCATCATTTCATCATTCCATTTAAATTTGTCTGCTAAATTTCTACCAATAGTTGCTCCCACTTATGATTATTATTACACCTGTTTACCCAGGAAAGCTTTACTGAGACTCATGACTCTTTTTTTGCTGGAAGGTCCTACAGATGATTGGAACAGAATTTTGACTTGAGTTCCTGATGACGACCGCTTGTGTTGCGATGGAAACGTCGTGATATTTAATTATTTTTGTATTCACTTTATTTTCATTTTTGTTATTTTATTGTTATTATTTTTCTATCTACGTGACTTACCGAAAGAACCATAGACTATGATTGGAACTTACATTCCAAACTGAGTAAAATTAGGGTAATTTGGCAAATTTGGACGCCGGAAAACAACGGCCTGCTCTTGCAAATTATGTCACATATGTTTATGGTGAATACACCCCGCGGTAATAACCAGTGCCGCCGCTGTAATTGAACCGTAAACCTCTGTGACGAGCAGCAAGCGCTACCACGAGGCCAGGCTACTGCCCCTTTGATGATGTTCAGTTATTCCATCTTGTCCAGAAGCTCTCCCTTTTTTTATTTTGTGATGAGCAGGGCTTACTTATTCAATTGTGACATCTGGAAATTCCTCCTCTCTATCTATAAAAACTCAGTTTGATTCTTTGTTTATGAGCATCGGAACAAATCAAGCCCTATACTGTCATACATTTAACCATGTTATGTTTTATGATGACACGTGATTAGAATGGGATGCTGCTATGGTGTATCGGGAGGTTGCTACTTCAATTGGCTGCCGAGGAAGGTAAAAAATGTCGCAAGTTTTGTAAATGTCCATGCTTTTGTCCATCAAGCGGTATGAGTGCAACGCATTGTGGGGCTCCACCGTTACCATTGCGATGTGTATTACCCACAATACAATACTGCCAACGTTTAAGTAAAAATACAGTAAAACCTTGGATTGCGAGTAATTTGGTCTGCGAGTGTTTTGCAAGACGAGCAAAATTTTTAAATACATTTTAATCTGATAAACGAGTGAGGTTTTGCAATATGAGTAGTAGTACGTATACGCTTTGTCTGCCGAGCGTCACGTGATCACAACTGATATACGAGTGCTTTGATATACGAGTGCTTTGGATTACAAACACGTTTCCGGAACGAATTATGCTCGCATTCCAAGGTTTTACTGTATTATGTTCCTAGATAGAAAATTCTATACCTGCGGCAAAACTGGTCACTGTTTTGTGTGATCTTTGATCAGTTTTAGTTTTTCACTCGGTTACCGGTGAAGCAAACATCGCGGAAAAATACCCACAAATAAAATGTTTAACCCAGCATGTGATTGTTTAAGTTTTCATTGTCCAATAATTAGGTTGAACATGGCAATACACACAAATACCCCTCCCCACCCCATGTAGTCATACAGCGTATTTGGATGTTAGTGGTCTGGAAATGCAATTCCATTCCTCAAAGTCAAAAAGCTAAATTCACGCGGGATCTGAAATGTGGAATCAAGGGAGGGCTGGACCGCACAGAGCCCGGCGTGGCATTGGGGCAAAGAGGGAAGAGATCTTGGGGCATGGCCTACGTAGCGGAATTGCCACTGAAATGTATGGCCGATGCATATGCAATACATCTCATTGTGATTCTGGTTGATATACCGGCTG